GAGAACAAAGAGAATGGTAAACCCACCATTTAGAAAGATCTCCTGTCTCCATTTCCCCTTTCCATAGCCATTTTACTTGTGGAAACACTGGCTCTTACTTTAGGTGGTATGGGATACAGATGAAAACAGAAACCCCTTTGTCAGGGATTTAATATATAGAGAAGAGAGAAGTTCACAAGGAGGCTGTAGACTGACATTTCTGAAGAGCCCATGTTAAGAAGTAAATTTGTTACTGAGTTAGTGATAAACAATGCAAGAATAGAGAGTGACGGAAAAAGGCTAAGAACCAATCTAGTATCTCTTCAAATTGGTATAACTGGTCTTTGCATTGCTGCTTATAGTCCTTGTGTTCCTGTCCACCATAAAGACAAGTGCTGTGATATCTGACGCTTAACTAGTAAGTAATCTTGTCCTATTGGGTCCCTTGTGGCTGCTTATTCTCGTGTACGTGCCCAGGTAGCCTTTTCCTTAGAGACAGTTGCCCACTGGTCTACTTTTTTTTTTGATACAAGCCGTGCAACCTGATAGAATGGCAGCGTTTGAGGTCTTAGCTGTTCTAAGGCAAACACTGATACATATTTTCTTTGTTAATGCCTTATGAGGACAAACCAGGCCATTTCTTTTATGGTTTTCAGGCATGAAAAAATATGTTGGGTCCAGGAACGCAAGGACTCTGAAGTGTGAGCCTGTACTAAAAACATACAAGCGTTTGGAAAGATATTGGCAAAGAAAAGAATGAAAAGGACTTGGGAATTACCAGATTATTTTGTAGATTAAAATGTTGTTAAATTCTTTATCAAGCAACTTTCTCTACCAGGCTCATTACATGTCCCTAGACAAATGGAGCTAAATCTCAAGTGGAAGTTATAGGTTTACTGAGTCAAGGGGGAATACTAAAGAATACCAGGAAAAAAGAGTAATTCTGAGTGCTAGATTACCAAAAATATGGTTGGAATGGCTTCAGAGTTTTGTATAAGGAATTAATCTGCGTGGAAGACCCAACAGCCAGTAGACTCAGACTGAGAGTGGTCTGGTTAATCTAAACAGCAGTACTGTTAGACACTCTGAGGATGGGGGCAGAGGAATAAGATTAGGAAGGAAAAACAGCCATCTGGCAGAGAGATCAAGAGTGAAGAAGCATGCAAGTGTGTCCTCATGCCATGCAGGAGATTGTGGGTTCATGCTTATGATTTCTTTACTCTCCTTGTAAGGGCTTGTCCTACCCCTAGATTTTCTGTATCTGTGAAAAACTTAAATACTAGTGCTTATCCAATTTTTAGGCTCTAAACCAGAGCCAGTCAAATTCAATGGAAGGCTTCTTTTGACTCCAGGGGGCTTTGCACAGACCTATGGTGCACTCACTACCCATGGTTAGATTGCTTCTTATTTCTCACACTCAGAGAGCTGGGTGTCATCTGGCTGTCTTAGCTATAGGTGAGGAGTAGAAAAGAAGTTCCTCCTTTCTTAAGAGCAAGGCTTTTTATTCTTGCTGGCTGACTGAGGGTATTATTTGGACACTTGACAAGATGGGGAAGAAATATAGGCTGATTCTTTAGTGTGTCTATGTGGTTTGTTACCCTTGTTCACCAATGCAGTGTTCCTTCCTGTGACATGGATATCAAAAAGGCAGCTTTGTGGAACAGAGGCTTGAAGTGACAATACTTCTGTCCTGCCTGTCTGATCTACCCCAAGTCCATTTGAGTCTTTTCATTGTGTACATTGCAACGTGAATCTGATGCTAAACAGCCAACACCCATTCAAATGTTCTCAAAGATCTGCCCAAGTACATAAATGCAGGAGCAATCAAGACTACCTGTGCAGTCTTGTTCTTCTATTTTTAACATGTTATGAGTAAAATGGGAGTGCAGCTGTATAAGCTGCTCATGGATACCTGAGGTGCAGAACAAATAGAAGTGGCCATGTTCCATGAGGGAGAACTTGCATTGCTAAGGAGAAACCGATAGTGAAAATTTGGATTTTGGTTATTTTTAACTTTGTATGAATAGCAAATGGGTCTGGCCTGCAGTTCTTGGCCAGCATTCTCTTGGCTGGCTAATTATAGGAGCATGTTTGAAGTCAGAGAAGTTCACATACTTTTTTTTTAAACTTATATTGACTCAAGAACAGAACAACCCATTAACAACTCCTTTAGATTTCTGGAGACACATAAATAGCTGCACTTTAAGATCTTTTTCGCTCGTTTTCTTGCAAGGGTTGAACATAAATGTGAGGTTCAAAATTTCCAGATTGTGGCATGAGCTTTGAATAATGCCTACCCTCCATTTCTAAACTGGATTTCAGTTCCTGTGTGCCTCTGTTATGGGGCCAGAAAGCAAATGACACCTCCAGTCTGGTTACGCTGGGTAGGGAGTATGTGAATTTTTCCCTGTGGGCCAGGATTAACCTAGCAGTTGTACTCCAGTTCCATCATGAGTCCCTGGTATAGGGGGATTCTGGGGTCTGGCCTGCTGGCAGGAGAGGGATGTGGAAAAACAGGGTGTGGGCTGAGTGTGAGCTGTGCATCTTATTAGGTGCAGTATGTAGGGAACCTATTTCAGAATTGATGCCCCAAGGCCAGGTGTGTTCTGTGGGAAGAAACATCCTAATATTAAATATTCCTTTCATTTGAGAAATGGCCTGTAAGCAGGCTCTCAAGGGGGTCGATTTTTGAAGGCCTATTTTAAATAACTACTTTCTGGCATTTCTGTGATTTTACTCAGACATTTTAGTATAATCAGATGGTTGGTTTTAAAACCAAAATATATTATAGCTGTGTTTTGCACAGAATTACCTGGTAATCTTAACAATGTGAAGCTGAAAAGTGAAAAGAAAATGGCATAGCACATCTTCTCAGAGGATTAGCAGGGAATGATGCTGAAACAGTAGGAGCTTGAGATTCCAAAGGACAATTGTGATTATATATTTTCTCGCCCTGCTCTGACAAAGGCATCTGTAAACACACGCACACGCCACACCACCCCCACACACCACTTCACATGCTGGGGAGGTGCCAAAGTATGGCTCTCATCATATCTTCTCACACTGCTCTGTAGTGAAATACTTCATATTAGATGCCAGAGCATTGATACAAAGGGCACTTTGTGCGTAGGGCTCCCTGATCCCCTTATTCTGGCACTGGGACAGGTCTCAGTCCATTGATATTAAACAAGGCCAAGTGCCTGCTGGGAATCCTTGCCCCAGAAGCAATAGGTTTGATACCCTGCTTGGGTTCTGCAGGCAGAAGTTGGGTGATACTGGATGGCAACTCCCAAGGTGAGCAGAAAGTGTGGCCAGGGATGCCAGCGGTGCAGTTAGAGTAGACTGTCTGCTACATTTGACCTGATAATGTAAAGGTGGGGGGGCAGTAACCATGGCAGCAGCCCTGCTTCCTGGGGGGGGCACAAAGATAGCTGCTGCAGCTGGCTGTGCCAACAGCATGGCAGATGGTGCTGCTGCCCAGGGTGCACATCTGCCCTGTTACACCTCTGATTTTACCAGGAGGCCCAGGGCTACCTTGGATAGCATGGAAGTGATGGTTCTGGCTGAAGAGAGAGTAGAGCCAGATCAACCACTGGGGACATGTTCTGGTTCATCTTTCCAGCATGGAAGGCTGCTAAGAAATGGGTTCACTACCAAATGAGCTTGAATAAGTAGAGATGAAGCCTCGTCTAAGAGCACTGCAGCACCTCATTTCCACTGCCTCCTCACTCCATACTCTCCCCCCCATGTATATGAAACAACTCATGTTGCCTGTACATTGGCACGTGTTTAATTCCAGCTGCTAAAATGCATACCCAGGAAGGAGAAGTAATTTCTGGGCATATGATAGATGTGGGCAGGAAGGAGTTAAAGGTAAATAGAGAGTGTGTGGGCTTGTCTGAAAAATAACTAGCAGAAAGCCTGGATGGAGCAGGGAGCAGGAGTGCGGAGTTGAAGTTACGCCGGGTAGTTCTGCTCTAAGTGATGTCTGTTGGGCAAAGAGTACAACTTTGGACTTCTCGAGCCAGACCCCTGCATTTTCTCACATGAAAGCACTTTAGGCTCAGACTGAACTGTGCTATGCAAGGGGTGTGCTGGAAGGGGAGGCTGGCTGTGGAAGAGGAGGGCTTTTGGCTCAGGCTGGGGCTGGCCACACCTCCCTCTGTTTTATTCTGGTTTGAAGGGTTCCGCATGCTTCTGAGAGCTGAAGGGGACAGACCAGTGTGAACTCTCCGGGTTGCTGCTCTGCTGCAGAATACTTGTGTTTTTTTCTTCTCCAAAGCAATAGCTTTTAATGGCTCCAGCCAAGCCCAGTCTATGCCTCCTGCTCTTGCTAACCTGCTGCTTCTCCTTGTCAGAAGCACAGCTTCTGAGTTGGCTGGGTTGGGAAAGACCAAAGCAGGAGGCAAGGACTGTCCCCCCTGAAGAGAACAGCACTACTGAGGAGCAGACGATGGGATCGCTTACCTCTCCGGCAGCTAGCACGCTCCATGCTCCTTTGCAGACAACGGCACAGCAAGAAGGGAAAATACGGAATATATTTACACTCAAGAGGCAAGAGCCAGAGTCGGATGTGACTGTGCCCACAGCGGCACCATCTCAGACACCAAAAGACAAGGAGGAGAATATTGCAGGGGTAGGGGCCGAGATACTGACTGTTGCTGAAGGTATCAGGAGCTTGGTCCAGCTGTGGGATGAGAAGGTCACCAAGGGAACAGAGGGCACGGAGGAACTGACAACAGCTGCTCCTTTCACTGCTGCCCATCCCAGCCTCTCTGCTACTAGCCTTGTTACGGGACCAGCCGGCATTGAGAACATGACTGCTGACTCGACAGGGGGTGCCCAAAGCCCACTGGAAACTGGGCAGCCAGAAGTTGTGTTCCCTGTTCCCACAGGGCCTCCCCCTGTCCTATGGAACAGGACTCGAGTGCTCTTACAGCAGCCTGCGTCTCCTCCCCCAGGTAGTGATTCTTTCCCATTTTCACCAGGTGATGATGCCATTGGTGAGATGATGGCTTTCCAGGAGTCGTTCTCAAGACAGGGTCAGGAAGGTGCTGCCATCCTAGAAGCAAGGGCTGCCTGGGGAGCTGCCTCCAAAAAGAGAGGAGAAATTGTACCAACAGCAAACATTTTGGACCAGCAGGAGCTTACAAGCAGTGCCAGCATTCGTGATGAGATACCGGCTGAGGTGGCGGGTTCCTTAGACAACCAGCTATCCCATTATGTTAGGAATTCAAACCACTCAGTCTCTCATGGCAATACTACCCCTCACATCCTTAAAAATGCAGACAGCAGCCAATCAATGCAAAGCATTGAACCCTCCGATAAGCAGTTTGGGAAAGCAGTAGCTGATTTAAATAGGAGCCATAGTGATTCTGTTTCTAATGCAACTAATTTTGTGGATTTTTTTCCTGCCAATAACTCTGATTCTCTTGGGTTTGACTTACTAACCTACACTATGCAACTTTATAGCAATAATAGCACGGGGCTTGCTTCCTTCTTTCCTGGATTGACTCCAACAGCTGGCCACTGCTTGCCCTTACCAGCCAATCTTCCATATTGCAACAACCTGGGCCTAAAACATTTCAGAATGCCGAATTATTTCAATCACGGCAGTGACATGGAAATTCGGGCTTCTTTGCATGAGTGGGAGGGGCTTTTAAAATCTCGGTGTCACCGCTACTTGGAGTGGTTTTACTGCTTGCTACTGGTACCTGGGTGTAATGCTTCTATTCCAATAACACCTCCGCCATGCCAGGGATTCTGTGAGGCCCTGAAAGATCTCTGTTGGATGCATTTGAAAGAGGGGCGCTTCCCAATCTCATGTGACTCTCTCCCTGCGGAGGACAATGAGTATTCTTGTGTATTTATTAATGTTTCTGCAGGTAATATGACAGGGGTAATATCTGTTATCAACTTTTTCTTTTTCTTCCACCAGGTAAGCTCAATTGGTACTTGCTCTAAAAGCCTTCAAGTGTGTCATATATACTTCATTCAGCTCCCTGAATCCCACTTCTCTATTAGTCAGGGTATCTGGGCAGGAGGGGAAGCTGAATAGCCCACAGAGCCCATTGCTGTGGATGGCTTCCAGTCTTCAAAGATCAGTCTGTCCAAACCATAGTTGTTCTCTTTAGAGCAGGGGTGCAGGGGTTTCAATCTCACCTGGGGCCCTGGGTTGATCTGGACTGTGGAGCTTCTTGTGGGGCAGCAGCCGCGGCCATTGTGGTGGTGGTGGGTGGTAGGTCTGGGGGTGAGGAGTCCAGAAGTAGAGGTCCACTGGCAGTGGGAAGGATCTGATAGCAGCAGTGGGTCTGAAGGTGACTAGGGGTCCAGGGGCAACAGTGGTGGTGAGCCAATTTTATCACTGATAACCCTGGCCAGTGGGGCCAAAGGGCCCCAAATTCCATGTTGGGCCATACCCCACAAGTTCTGGTGACTGCCTGTAGCTTGGCATGCTGGATAGAGCTGTACTGTGGGCTAGATCTGGCCCACAGGCCATATGTTGGACACTTCTGCTTTTACAGTCTTATTTTGTTGTAGACCTGATGTGAAGCGTGCATCATGGGCTGTACCCATCTCTGCTATCCACATGGCCCAAGGGCGGTGTTGCCAAGGTGGCCTGTGCTTGTGTGTTGGTGGTTACAAGGAAGTAGTTATGAGTTGCAACATGAAGTAGATGACTTATGTTGCTCCTCCTTCCCATGCCCGTGACTCCTCACAGCTCTGAGTGGTCAGGCAGGTGGGAGTCGGAATTCATTCTCATTGGCTCCCAGTGACGGGGGGAATTGCCAAATGATTCTGCCATTGATACATTACAAATAGTGTGGTCTGTAGTAGTTGGGTCCATGCCAGTAGCCTTCACAGCAGCTAATGTGTCCTAGATAGAGCAATGATGTACAGCATCCATGGTGGTGTTTGATGAAAACTGGATATTCAAATAGCTGCCAGGGGCAGGTCTGTCAGCCTGCTTCTATATTGATGGGGCTTACAATAGTAGGTAACTTACTGGTGATGGCAATTTTTATACCAGGGTTTTGGAGGTCTGGCCTAATGGTTTGGGGAGGGGGAAGGGTGGGAAGGGGGCATATTTCTTCCTGATATGTAGTATCTCTTCATTGACCATGGATGGTGAAGCAAACCTTAACCTTTTGGTTTCTTTTCTCTGCCTCAAGCACACAATTGCATAGTTTCCACAAGAGTTGTGCTGAATTGAGCCAAAAGGAGGTAGCTCTTTTCCTTGTGCAACCTGGGTTTAGCTATCCTAGATGGCATAGTGTCATGGGCCACAGAGATCAGCATGTTCCCTTAGTGACCTACCCCTGGGGGCATTCTCCCCTTCCCCTACTCTTGGCCCCCCTGCTGAATGTGGTGTGTTCTTTGAATGGTCTCCATTCAAGTGAGAGATGAGATTTCTATGTCCAAGTTCCAGACCAAAAGGGAAGGACCTTCAGACTGTTATAAGGATTTTGGTGACTATTCCAGGTACTTTAATAGGAGGACCCTGGATCTGGGACTAGAAGCCCTCCTTTGCAGGATCCCTCTCTTCTACTAGGTCTTGGGGATTGCAAGTCATTGAGCTGACTCTACAAGCAGGTACTTGGGTCTGTGTGTTAGGGTAGCAATGGGAAAGCGTTAAAAAATTCAGGAATTTTTGTTTCAGGATGATGAACACTTCCACGAGTGCCTCACTTCCATAGTGAGATGAAGGTCATGTTGTTCTGATGCTTGCCTTGCCAGTGCTTGAAGCACTGCACGTGCATACCTGCCCTGTAGTTTTGTGGTGGTGTTCTTAAATGCTGTGCATACCAGTGGCTTTGACTGGGAGCTGGAGTGCACATGTTGCTGTCCTATTTGTGCATGGAAAACCTTCAGAAGATGAGGGACAGGTTTTTGATGAGGGTGTCATGCCCCTTTCTTCACTTTCCCTCCTCCTTTGCCAGGACGTAGGATGGTGTTTAGGTGTCATTACTTACACCTCATATGAGATCTCATTATATTTTGAGTTAATTGCATTGTAAGACAAAAATTTGAGTCCATGGCTGATACCTACACACTCCACACAGGGAGGCTGCATCTTAGCCACATGCCATCACATTCCCCTCAATGTCAAATTATGCCTGGTATGGTATATGGTCTGAGGCTTATAGTCTGTGCTGGATGTGCTAGAACATGGAGCATAAAAAAGACTCATATGGGGAACACTGATAAACACTGCTCAGCTCCCATTTGCCTGTGTCATGTTTTTACATATGTTCTACCCAATAAAGGATGAAATTCTCCCCTTTATTCAAAGTGAGTGATGTCTTCACACCTTTCTGACCTGACATGCTAATGCCTGTGCTGCCACGTCTTCACCAGTTGCTTTATATGTGCTAGCTACATCAAGTTATAAAGGCCAAGGTAGCACTGCAACCACATCTACATTTTGCTCAGGAAATATGTTATATAATAGCAGGTGTTGAGCTTTCTGCCCCGGCATTTTGAGTGAGCAATACTTTTTTTTTTTTTTTTTTTTGGTGGCTGGCCCATGTGTATTTTTAATATAAGGCACTGAAGTGTCCAGGGCAAGGGTACTACATTATTGTCACAAATGGGCCAGAACCAATTTGTGTCCTTAAGATACACTGTGATGTGTGTTTGCTTTTCTCCTTGAACAATTTGCATCATAGCTGACTCAGTGTATTTGGCCATGGTTAATTATTTATATAACGACAGAAAAATTGGGTTCCCATTGTTGGAGAGGCAGGAGGATCATTTTTTGAAATATTGGGTTCCCATTGTTGGAGAGGCAGGAGTATCATTTTTTGTGTTAAACATTTTTTTCATGCAATATAAGTGGAATCCTTTGAAAAACAAATTCAAAACATAAACAAACACCAGACCAGGATTACTGTTTGGGAATGCACAGAAATTCTCTGAGTGTACCTGCCACTGAGAAAAGGAGTAGCATAATGTTTGTTAAAATGTACAGGAGTTCTCAGCTCATCCAGAAGTTGAGGATCACCTGACTTTTTCATTGGTGTGTTTGACTGGCTGATTGGAATATTCACAAGACTTGGGACCTAATGAGACTTGATGAAGACTGCGTTGCATTCAAAAACTTGTCTAACTTTATTCCAAGCATGCAGTTGGTCCAAAAAAAGATATTACCTACAAAAGTTCTTCTAGCATAAGACGTGGGTTAACTATGCACTGGGTTGAAAACAGTTAGGTGTCATGGACACTTTTAGCATGAATGTTTTTTTCAGCATAGCTCCTGGCTGTATCTATTTGGCTTGTCCAGCTATATTGCAGTTGCACGTTTTTGGATGCACCTGAACAAAGTTTTCAGTTACATTCAGTTATTTTTATACTACTTCTATGATCAAATGTTGCAGTGTTTGTGCTCAGTGGAGTCTACTCTATTGGGTATTATTCCTTTTGAAACTGGTTGCATTATATCTATCCTGGCTGTCATTTTTATGGCATTAGTTAAGATGAATTAGATTACAGTTCCACTTGAATGATTTTGAAGTAGAGGCTTTGCCCGTTATTAACTGTGTATTTTCTCTTCTCAAATCCTCATCTTGTAAATTGTCCTCAACAAGTGTACATTGTGGAACACATGGGTGGTTTGAGCAGAGATAAGAAAAGCAAGGCAGACAATGGGGATACTTTTATAGATGTAAGACTATGGCCCCAGGCAATCTAACCCTTCATTAGTAGGTATTGTTGATATTAAAGACTAAGTGTTCTCAGGCTGTGACCCCAGGGTGGACATTAACCCATCACAGGAACGCTGTCTGTCGTTTGACCCTGAGGAGTAAGGGTGGATTGGACTCCATCAGGATAAATGTTCCCAGACTAATAGAACAACACCCCCCCACCCAAGCAACCCATCGAAGAAATCCTGTTCTGCCTGTCTGAGGGAAACAGAGCTGCAGTTGAGATGAATTAAATTAAGCAGCCAACACTTCTGTTATTTAGGGAAAATTCTATTTCAGTAACATTTTCTGGATTTCTTTTCCTTTATGGCTAATCCCAACAGTGTTTAAAGAGCTATGGGAGTCATTTTTTAAGAGCTCCTCTGCTCCTGCTGCTTATTTCCCACCCAAAGCTAGAATCCTTGAAAGCATAATCATTGCCACACAGCAGTTGACTGGATTACAGCAGAAAGGAAATTGGTTTGGTTTGGCTTCTGTTTCAGAGTTTGTCTACTCAGGGGAGGTAGGGCACTGTGAGCTCGAGTGCAGATTTATAGCATAGGAGGTACTCTGTCCTAACAACTCACGTGAAGGCTTGTGGCAAGTGAGCCACCTCACACTTAGTGCTCATTAAAAGTATCTGCATGGGGAATTAGTGTGGAGTTGCTAATGCACTATACAGTCACACTCGAATTTGGGCATTTATACACATACATTTGGCTGATGCGTCAGAGATCTGGTGTGTCAGAACAGACTCGATTAATCGAGTGTGCTCTGCGCGTGAGCTGATGCACGTGGCACTGTGTCGCATGCATTTGTATAAATGGCAAAATGTGCATCAGCACTGTGAAAAATGGCAGTGGTGTGCTTTTGAACTAAAACACCTTCAATGTGTTTTAGTTCAAAAGCACGCCACCTCCATTTTCTCAGTGCTGACGTGCATTTCACCATTTATACAAATACCCAAACTGCTCTCTAGCATCCCTACATAGACAAGCCCCCAGTGACCCAAAAAGATGTATGTGACTCTTCCATTTGTCCCTTATTTAGAGTCCTAAGTGGCTCTGTGAGGCTATGCTCTCTTCTATCACCCTTTAACCCAGACAGCAGTCCACAGTAGGGGCTAATTTCTAAATTGCATGATACTTAATTGGGCCCTGTAGCCATTTCCTCTAGATATACAACAGCTCTGTTTTTTTCCT